ATGAGATCAGCTTCAAACTGTTGGTGGACGCCTCCGGGTATAACTGATCCTCTACACCGCCGTCCTTGAGTCACTTTGTATGAGAGGAATCAAATAGTTTGGCGGCGTCTTCGTTTTAAAAGTTTAAAAAAGTTTTTGTTGTTGTTTTGTAGGTTTGATGGTGGTATGGGGGGGGGGTGTTGTAGTGTTGATGGTGGTGACGTTGATGCTGGTTTTGTTGGGTTCATATCTACTACTCCTAGGGGTTTGTGTCTGATCTCTGCGAGACGATTAGTATAAAGCTGTAGCGGCTGTTGATAAACTCTCTCTCTCTCTCTTTGTCAAGTGGTGACAAATCTTCTCTGTTTAGGATCTGTTGCGTTTTCATATCTAATTCTCGTAAGCTAGCGTTAAACGCATAGGGTGGTAGATGCGGCTCTTGTTTAATAGACTCTAATACACGGGTGTCGATTACAATCATTGTCTTGGCCATCGTTAAAAAAAGCCAAAGACTGCTTTAAGGAGACTCACATTAGGACCCAGTAATGCGCCTATGAAACCGCCTTGTGGTAGGATCTGCTGAAAACTCACATTAGGACCCAGTAATGCGCCTATGAAACCGCCTTGTGGTAGGATCTGCTGAACACTCACATTAGGACCCAGTAATGCGCCTATGAAACCGCCTTGTGGTAGGATCTGCTGAACACTCACATTAGGACCCAGTAATGCGCCTATGAAACCGCCTTGTGGTAGGATCTGCTGAACACTCACATTAGGACCCAGTAATGCGCCTATGAAACCGCCTTGTGGTAGGATCTGCTGAACACTCACATTAGGACCCAGTAATGCGCAAATGAAACCGCCTTGTGGTAGGATCTGCTGACGCCTTTGACCCCCATAGTTTCTTATTGGTGAGTTCTCTTTGACTTTCTTTGTAACGCTGAAAATGGTCTCTTCTGAGCGGGTGTCAGTGGAGCGTTACCTTTTAACACATTGTGACAACAGTCGCATAGAGTTTGTAAGAGTTGCGGGGTTTCATTTTTCAACATGGCATTTGCCAGAGGTGGATTAGCCGGACCAAAAAAAAAAAGTGTAACAGTTCTCATTGTCGTTTCACCAATTTTGGACATGTTGTTTTGTTGGGGGACGTGCTCAACGTGATGCCGGTAACGTACTAGGAACCTGCGTAATCCCATTTGATCTGGTGTTTTTTGACAAAAGGTCGAGTAACACATAACCATGAGGGGACGCTGTGACGTCTTTGAAACCTATTTGAACATAGGAAACACGGCCGGGGCACATTTGTTTGCCAGATGTGTAATCTGCGACCCGTCTCAGAGGTTGTTAACAGCAGTATGTGATAGGAATTGAGGCTGATTGTTCTTTGTTCTTTATATTTCCCGAACAAGTTTTCAACAATGTCCATAACACTGATGTCACGGTTATGCCTTTCTTTAGTAAACAATTTGGTGATCCTATCATCTGTATCGGTCATCAAGTGATCTATGACAACTAGCCGGCACTGACTCCAGTCTCCTACCGACCATTGTTCCATGTCAGGAAGCCCCGCCACAAATTAGACACTTTTCATGATCTCGTATATTGGTTGCCATTCCCTGAAACACCATATAATCTCCTCTGAGGTGGGGCTGACCATATCTGATAGATAAGCCAACATCTTGTTTACAAACACGGTTTTTACCTCTACCTGTTGGACCAGGGATAAGAGGATAAGAGCCACAAATGGATGTTTCCACATAGGATCTATAACTAGTGATGTTATGTTGTATTAGTATGATTCTACTTCATATCTTTTATATTCTTTTTATTTTCTCTCTCTCTCTCTCTCTCTCTCTCTCTCTTACTCTCTCTCTCTCTCTCTCTCTCTCTCTCTCTCTCTCTCTTAGACATGGTTTGTAAAAAACAAATCGCTAAAAGATATGTAAGGTTTTACAGGACCTATCTAGTTCTGCCATGGCAGCGAAGAAGACCAACCCAATCAGATGAGACACTTAGGCCTCCTCAGTGAGTCTTTTGAGGAATTATTAGGTGCGCAACTGCAGTGCGCAATAGACAAGATAATAGAAAAAGAAGACCTTATAGGATTGCTTTACGGAAACATACGCCGGCCAGTTCTCAGACCTGACCAACGCAAAAGATCAAGGACCCTTCGGCGTCAAAAGTCAAAAGACACCAAATTTAAAATCACCCCCGAGGAAAGCGGGACGGCACCCCTTCACACGTCGTTTGACGGGTTTGATTACGGACGGCTCTATTCCGACAAACCTATTTAACTGTATGACACCTCTTGTTCATGGTGTTCTATATTTTGTTGTCTATAAATTAGTCCTAGAATGAATTTAAAAACACTCCCCATTTTGAATACTGACCCCTAACCTAAGATTCAGAACCAATCAATATAAAAATGTACACCTACTAGCACACTCTATCCATTATAGCTTATACACATTGAGACCCAATTATTAAAAAGACACACATACTCCATCAAAGGTTATACACATTGAGAAACAATTATTAAAAAGACACACATACTCCATCAAAGGTTATACACATTGAGAACCAATTATTAAAAAGACACACATACTCCATCAAAGCTTATACACATTGAGAACCAATTATTAAAAAGACACACATACTCCATCAAAGGTTATACACATTGAGAACCAGTTATTAAAAAGACACACATACTCCATCAAAGGTTATACACATTGAGAACCAATTATTAAAAAGACACACATACTCCATCAAAGGTTATACACATTGAGAACCAATTATTAAAAAGACACACATACTCCATCATAGGTTATACACATTGAGAAACAATTATTAAAAAGACACACATACTCCATCAAAGCTTATACACATTGAGAACCAATTATTAAAAAGACACACATACTCCATCAAAGGTTATACACATTGAGAATCAATTATTAAAAAGACACACATACTCCATCAAAGGTTATACACATTGAGAACCAATTATTAAAAAGACACACATACTCCATCAAAGGTTATACACATTGAGAACCAATTATTAAAAAGACACACATACTCCATCAAAGGTTATACACATTGAGAACCAATTATTAAAAAGACACACATACTCCATCAAAGGTTATACACATTGAGAACCAATTATTAAAAAGACACACATACTCCATCAAAGCTTATACACATTGAGAACCAATTATTAAAAAAACACACATACTCCATCAAAGGTTATACACATTGAGAACCAATTATTAAAAATACACACATACTCCATCAAAGGTTATACTCTCATCTACAAAATTTTAAGAACAACTAAAAATTTTTTTAAAATTTAACCCGACAACAACACTCTTCAAGATTATACACTACAGGTCAATAAAGAAATATTATTTTATCACACAACAAGACCACTAATTAGGAGCCGAAATGATCGCTGCTTAGATCGTGGGGGCTCAAAATATTCAAGATGATTATTACATATACATACTAAAAGATACCCACACATTGAGACTACTAAATTAGATTCAATAAAATTATAACTCAACAAGAACATTTATTATTTATTTTTTTAATCCATTAAATCATCACATGCCATGACCACTACCTTAGAATACACACTACAAATGATTCATACAAAATTAGCTTATAAAAAAACGAGTAAACTATTAAACTCCATCACACAAGACAATCATTGCAAACCTTTGGATTTTTAAATCACACAAGACAATCATTGCAACCCCTGTGCAACGTATTTTACATTTGTTTAATTTGTTTACAACTTCAACTTTTTCCATTAAAAATACATCCAAGGTTTGCAAACAAGGGAGATTATTACTTAAAATTTAATTACAAAATAATTAGGCGATTATCACCCCTTGAATGAATCGATCGATAATTCCCCCCCCCCCCCCCCCCCCCCCCCCCCCGCCCGAGGGTCCCCTTGCAACCGTAGAAAAACTTACACGACCCTTACAATTCTAATCTAAAACGACTCTTTACAACAGCTCATCGGCAGACCTGGGATTGAGTGGAAGGATCATATTAAAAAAAGATCTACAGCAGCTGGGAAATCCAAGCTTGGAATACAAAAGCCATGAAATATGGCTTGAGCTTAAGGAACTGTCGAGGCCAGCGCTCTATATGGGCGGCAGCACTGCACGGAAGCAAAGGTATAAGAAGCCTGTGGACTGATCACTTGGTCTTGTTGGAGTGTGATTAGTACAACGTACCTGGCTGTTACTCCACTTCAAGAGTTAGTTGTGATGATTGTTATTTTGTAAATATAGCAGGTCTGTGCAGTGGTAAGTATGGAAAGTTAAAGTTCGAAATAATTGATGAGAAATTAGAAAAGAAGTCTTATCAGAAATTAAATATATTAGATTAATTTTAAAAACAATTTCAACCAGATATGTAATATTTCTTTTTTTTTCTTCAAAAAACGCAAAGCTTTTCATGTGTCTGAGAGGACAGAGATAGATGTGTCATTAAAGTAATGTTTGGTATGCACTATTTAGACACATAAAGGAAAATGACCATAACACAAACTATTGTTATGTTAATTCTATTTAATTGGACACTGAAGTAAAATGTTAAATCTTTTTCCAAAATTCGTAGGATTTAAAGAGAAGCGTTTCCCAAACTTTAAAGCTTGACCGACAAAAGGATATCTTGTGAAATTGCACCAGGGACCAGTGCCGGAATGATGGATAATATTTTCCTTTTTTTTCAACCATGAATATCAATTATAGCAAGCAAAGGCTAACAAATCGTTGCCAGTCTAACCATCACTATTAGAGAAACACTGTAATAGATGCTTCCCAAGAAACGATTTCATGTAAGATTTGAATAGTTTCCGGTCAAAGTCCAACAAGCTAAATTGTTTTTTTTAAAGGCTTTAACAACAAACGTCTCCTTTTTTTATATATATTTTCGAAACTTTCCCCTTGCAACATATTTTACATTTTTAAAATTTGTTTACTACTTCAAATTTTTCCATGAAAAAATACATCCAAATTGCATATCAAAAAATGTTATCATAAAAAGGCAGGGGCATTTCACAGACGTAACCGTAGCGAATCGAACATTGGTCGTCATTGAGCATCCGGTTGACATAATAGTACTGGACGCAGTGTTCAAGTCCAAGGGCGTTGTTGGGCTCACCCGGAGAGAAGACCGACTCCAAGGTTTCATTCGCCACCGGCGAAGAATCAAGTTTCCACACTAAGTACCCTTGCCCGGCCAAATCGTCCGCTCCGACCCAGGCCATGTTTCCTCCCACCAGATTTCTCAAAATCGCCAGCTTGTCGAAGGTCTTCACGGATGCGAGAACGGCTCCTTTGGCCTGGCACGCCTCGTGCGCCTGCGTGTAATTCAGCCAGACGACCTGGTAGTTGGCGAGGCACGCCATAGCCGAGCCGCTAAACATCAGGCGGAAGCCCTTGCTGTAATCGCACGTGACCTTGTAGTGGAGCTCCCCTTCCTTTGAGGTCGGCGGATCTGATTTGTTAAACACAGATGAGGCCGGCGAACAGAGGTGGGTTGTCCTGTTGTACAGGAAACTCAAACAGTCGGCGTAGTGTTGCATGCAGGAAATACCACATGAAACGGAAGATGAATCTATCCAGCCAGGAGCGAGTCTTGCAGGGGCAAAGTCTGGAGTAGGATCGATTTTGAAGTGATGCATGCCTTTACTTATCACTGGAAATGAAGTCGATTGTCCAGCCACTTCAAGTATTTGATCTGTGTTTTTTTTTAAAGAGAGTCGATATTTATATAGCTTATATGGAAACAAAAATGTTTGAAATATGTTTACATTTTTCATTTGCCCTTAGAAAATTCAAAAACAATTAAAGAATAATTAAAAGGTTCTTGTTTTTTTAATGAAAATAAGTAAAATAAATAAAGTATTTGTTTTGTAAATATATTTTACACGTTATAGCCCACCAAACCTTGGCGGTAGCAATGCGTGAACGTCCCATCTACTAAAGTTACTTGACAAAAAAACGTGAAGTCAAGTTACGCACATTTGAGAATGCCAATGTTTTTATACCCCTTCCCCCCACCCTTTCAAGATACGTCACTGCACACTTTTTTATTTCAAGCCCATGAACTATAGCTGACCCGCGACTTAGCAGACGCCGCGAGCTGGCTGGCATGCGAGGGGAGGGTTTGCCTGCGTCGTCGTCTTGCTTGCTCTTTTGTATCTATATATAGCCTGCGTGGTCTTGTTGTTTCACCTATTTTTCGCTGGCGAATTATATATAGAGATTGATGCTTGCGTGCGCCAATAATCAGGGGACAAAATAGTAGTGAACTGCGATAAATGAAGATGAAAAATCAGATTTATCCACGTGAAATAAAAGTAAAAACATAACAATGCATTCCAAGATGTAATTTAAAACTTCCAGCTCTACTTTCATTCAATTTGCATTGATCGTATTGTATGCAGTGTTGTCTTCTCAGAAGACAAAACAGCACAAACCGGGATGCCGTCGATTAAGACACATAGTAATGTGTCTTTAAAAATGGTCATGATATCGTTACAGACAGAATTAGTACATTGGCAAAAACAAATTATCACGATTAAATGAACTGTCATTCTAAAATACAATTTATCTGGTAAGTTTGAAAATACAAGATATAATAAATTTAAGTGTCTGAACAGTTAACGAGATGGTTCTAGGTTCTTATAAATGTTGTTGTTTTTTTAAATTGTTAGTTATCTTATTTAAAAGAAGTGTTTTTTGTGTGTGTATTTTTTTATATTAAGGAGTCCTTTTTTATAATTTTTCAAAAAATTGTAATCCATTGAGAAAACATATCAATTAAATTAAAGTATTTAAAAATTCATCTTGCCCAAACTATTAATTTCCAAAATAAAATGAGTAAAACAGAGTATGGTTAAACCTGAAAAATTAAACGTAACAAAACAGCGAACGTGTCGGCAGAAAGCCTTCGTCAGCGAACAAAACAACAGAAAAAACGTTACTTCTATTGCTGCCCACAGATACTACTTACCAGCTAAGTGCTATTTCTTATTTTTATAACGTTTTTTCTGTTGTTTTGTTCGCTGACGAAGGCTTTCTGCCGACACGTTCGCTGTTTTGTTACGTTTAATTTTTCAGGTTTAACCATACTCTGTTTTACTCATTTTATTTTGTACTAACCTGATTGCAGTCTCTCCCCTTATTACCCCTATTAATTTCCAGCACCACTAAAGTACTGCATTTTTAACATCGTAGCTAGTCGTTAGGATGATATTTTTTTAACTTTTTGTTCGCAATTTCCTTATTGAATTTAAAAGTGTCATATAAGTTATATTAAATTTGAAATGGGTAAAGTCATATTTTTATTAATTGTAAAAAAAAAAATCACGATTTTTTTTTTTTTAATTAACAATAAAATGATTAATAACACTTAGAGGAGACAGTTTTAAAACTAATTTAAAGAAAGGATTTAATGGCTGTCTTTTTTTAAAAATATATATACATTTAAAAAATTAATTTTTAAAATTCGGAAATCTTTTACCAATGAGTATCGCACAATAGTTAGTATCGATATTTACAAATTTAAAAGCCTTGGTCACATGACCAAAAGTTTGCAAGTCTTTTTATTTGAACATTTGGCTTGAGACTACGCAGCAACTGAGATTAAAGTAATCCTTAATTATTCTTTTTAAAAAAAATGTTCTTTCCATTGTACAAAAAAAATAATTGATCATAACAATTCAATCAGTTAGAATCTGATGTAAGTTTAACGCCAATGTTTGTCACTAAACTATTATTTTGCCAAGCTTTATAACTTTTCCGTACTTACCGAAGATCACCACACACAGAAGAAGAAAACATGACCGTAACATCTTCCAGTTATTCATAACAAAGTTTGACTAAAAGCGTTTTTCTTTGTTTAATAAATATGAAGAAGAAGGGTAACAGAATTGCGAAGACAAAAAGGATACTTGAAAATGTCTCTTTACTTTGAGTACAGTCTTCTTCTCATTAATAATTAGCAAATGACAAATGATGCTTTAAAAGAATGAGGAAACGATGCTACACAAAAAAATGGTCATATCTGTACTATGACCTTCAATGATTTCAATGTTTGTTATGCTGGTGCCTTAGATTGGCAAAGGTTCTCAAAAATTAGTCAAAGGTATATTGCACTACAAAAAACAAAAACAACCAAAAAATAAAAAACACACAAAAACAACAACTTAGAAACTTTGATCTTTTTCTGTCTCTTAGCATCTTAACGCTCCTACAAAAAGGACAAGCCAGACGGGAAGAGCAGTTGCAAGAACGCCAAACTCCAAGACTTCACAAACGACTTATATTCGGTGAACTCTCCTGTGGGAAACGCTTAGCTGGAGGGGAGGAAAAAAAAAAGCTTCGTGCAATGTCTCAATGCGTCATTCAAATCCATTGACATTGACCTTGATTCGTGGGAAACACTTGCCATGGACCGTACAAGCTAGCGTGGTAGACTCACTGTCGGAGCTCAATCCTCAGAGAATAAGCGCACCGGTTACGACCACAAAAGAAAAAAAAAGCGCACCACTTATAAAAAGTAGAATCTACTCAGATCCGACTAGAACTCAGGACAACATGTGTCCCACGTGCATGTAAGCTTTCCGGGCACAAATAGGACTGGAAGGCCATTTGCGTAGTCGCCGCGTCATATAGACTTGCTGGTTATCTCCGCATGCGAAGGACGAAACAACAACAACAACCGTATGATAAAAGTTAAAATCCAACTCCAATTAGTTTTTACTTGTGTTGATTATAACAAACCATGAGTTATTTACATAATAAATATTCTCTTTTAAAGATTTAATAATAATTATTTGTTTTTGTTTTATTTACATTTACTATACTAATAAAACTTACAAAAGGAAATAACTTGCAATAAAATAATTTCATTTTTTTGACAATCTCTGCGTCAAGTTCTGAAACTTGAAATAATTCAATATGATAGAATTTTAAATCAATGTTAAATCTAATTGCTCTGTTGTTTGCCAGCAGAACCTGTTTTTTTGTTCCTATCGTTTTTAAAATGTGGATTAAATAATCAAACACTTTTTCTTGTTTTACTTTTTATTGGGCTAAGATTAAACCTCATGAGTCCATGGCTGTGACACAATATTTTCACAAGCCCTTTCCTTGCAGGGCCGCGGCTTTCTGCATTCAAATCAATTTGGTGAGGAAACCCGATAATCTCAACGAGTAATCGAACTCTTTTAAAACAATTATCAGTGGGGGAAATCAATCCTTCTTGGCCTACATATTGGCACAAATATTTCTTTTCTTCACCGAATTAAGTTCATAAAACGTATTTACACGAATTTTAGATCGATGTGTTCAGTTATAGAGAAAATACCAAGGAGGTGTCAGTCGATACTATTAAAAAGAACTATGCATGTCCAAAATGTTTTTGATTATTATGTGTTAGCAAAAATAAAATTAAAACAGGGGAAAAAAAGAAAAGAAAAGAAACAATAAAATTTTTAAAAAAAAAAATTAAAAAAAAACAACAACATCAAATCTATAAAAACCATGATCTACTTTCACGTAAGGTCAAAATTTGTTTTGCATGAAGTTCTGGGATTTCAATAATTTTATCTCTTTACTTGTTTTGGAACATGCACGTGGCCAAGATAAAGGGCAAATTCTGTTGTAAAATCTATCGCTCAATACACATTAAAACTATTGCAATATCTATGAAAAAATATTTTGAAAATCTTTTCCATTTCGATATCAATGTAGTAAATCACGGTTATCCAAAACTGGGGAGCCGGCACTCCTGGGAACGCTAGAGAATGTCCAGATATAAGGACATCAAAGAGAGAACAAGAGAAAAACGAACGATAATCCATGTTTGTAATGATTTTTTTTAAAAATCAGTCACCGATAAAGTTATCAGGGAAAATCAAATGAGAAAGAACTATACTGGCACAGATTCTTGATCAGGGTTTCACTAACACATTGATAGATGTTTCTGTTCGATTTCTTCTATAAATAACTACAACGGAATCTGGGCCCACATTACTGTTGACTTAATGCATTCAAATACTTCCTACAAACTGTGACCATTCGAGTTTGTTTTCTCTGTTACTTGTTTTTAAAGTTTTAGAATTATTTGGTTTTAATGATTATGCGAGTGCGTTTAGACATCTTTTCAAAATAATGTTAACCGAGATACAAAGAGTGTGTGTTGGTGTGTGTAAGAGAGAGAGAGAGAGAGAGAGAGAGAGAGAGAGAGAGAGAGAGAGAGGGGGGGGGAGAATAGGGAATATATAGACAAGGAAAGCGAGAGATATATTACTTAATTTTTTTTCACTAAAGAAAAGTATGCGAGTGCGTTTAGACATCTTTTCAAAATAATGTTAACCGAGATACAAAGAGTGTGTGTTGGTGTGTGTAAGAGAGAGAGAGAGAGAGAGAGAGAGAGAGAGAGAGAGGGGGGGGAAGAATAGGGAATATGTAGACAAGGAAATCGCGAGACATATTTCTTAATTTTTCTTCACTAAAGAAAAGGGATGAGTTCAATATTGCTACACTTAAAACGTATTTAACTATTCTTGGTGATCGCTGAAGTGAGAACCCCCGTAGACGCTCAATTACGTAACTTCCTTCTTTTTTAAATATTTTGTTTGACAGTAGTACTACATTATGCTTTTATGTCCCATTACCTTCGGGCGGTATATTAAATCCCTTTAGTTACTTTTTAAGTTAGTAGGCTCACGAAATCGGCAACAGTAAAATGAATGCAATCTATAATAATAATTCTTTTTCCCCCGCTCTAATTGCGCAAAGTGATGCGCTGTCATTTGCTGCTTCCCCCAGTGGTACGCACCCGCACCAAATTAAAAAAAAAGAAAATGAAAAAATTCGTTACCCAATGCTCACTGACAATTTACGAGCCATGTCTTAAGAAAAGGAAAATAGCACTAGAGGCCAAATGAATTTTGGTTCCGTCGTCGAAAGTTGCCATATGGTAACTTTCGGCCTAGTTTCGGTTGAACAGAAAGTTAACTTTCGGCTGATTTTCTATTTCGGCCGAAAGTGATTTAGGCCTTCGGTTGTCTACTACAATTCGGATTGTCACGCAGTCTGTCTCTCGGTCAGAAATTGTATATTCATTATTACTCAACGTCCTTTTGTCATTAGTACGATATGTGACTAATCATCTGCGAATACTTCTCACAGTTGCATGATGACATACTTGTCAAAAACTAAAGTAACGATAAGGCTTAGGCAAAGGTAAATAGTTTTGTGAAGAAAACAACTTCTATTGGTTTGATTTCGGTTACTAACCAATTAACTCTGAGCTAGTGCCGTTTAACACATTTTACTGGAAATTTGTATTCGTAAATTTAGGGATTACGGAGAACTTACCAGTTATCAAAGTATAGCTGATGATGCCACATTTTTTAAATATCACTGCTTTCGGTTTGCTGTGTCAGTATCGATTGAAAGTATCGTTAAGCTTTTTGATTTCGGCCTCGGTTTCGGTCGAAAAACATTTTTAACTTTCGGGTCGGTTTCGGTAAAAATCATTTTTAATTATCGGTTTAGTTTTTGTTTCGGTGAAACCAGAAAATGAGAAAGTCCTCCCGTAATTTATACGCGCGTTTTTGCCCCAGCTAGATAAAACAATACTCCTTTTAAAAAATACCATTTGCCAACATTGACTTTTTTTTTTTAAATGTAAACACTGCTACCCTTAATGATTTCAGTTTGTTCACACGTGCATTCTATGCAATGGCTTAAGGCTTAGCTCTTATCTAATTGATGGATGGTTGACACACACAAAAAACCGACCCGTGTGCTCAAGAAAAGAATGACGATTTGAAAAAAACAACATCCGTTAAATCTCTGACGCAAGTTGTTCTCAGTGATGCTTGTGTTTGTTGTTTTTTTTATCTTGCGTGCAATCAACAGTTGCATTCCTTAAACGTACTCAAAAAAATAATTAATATAATAGGGCTTAACTGGTTGCAGTTTGTTTGTTTTTTTTACACCGGTTTGAATTGTTACCAAAATGAAAGTTAAAATTCATTTTCTATAATATGCAATGAAACCTGCTGCCCTATGCCGGGGTGAGAGTGCATTGCCTTCGTCAACCCGTTTGTGTCAAGAAATAACCCACTTGTAGGAACAGGAAGTTGCCGGATTACGGAATAGAGATGACACTGAACAACACAAAACAGTCGACAGAGAAAGATACTGTAGTTTATTTTATACAAAAAAGAAAAAAGACTTACCTACGAAACAACAGTCGGAGTATAACAAAAATAGCATACTGTTTAAAGAAATTCAGACAGTGTGACAGAATAATAGTCGCCTCCCGCTAAAGTAAAGATATGATCTCGTAACTGCATAATCATCTTTGATAGGCTTGCTTGCAAGCCTAAATGATCAAACGTTCAGACCTAGACGAATATATCATTTCTTAACAATGTCCTGAAGCATTTTTATTGTCTTAACATGGCTATGAATGTAACGGACATTTTTATATTCAAACTTTCGAGATGTTATTTCCCTTTGACCAATAAAAAGTTTAACGGAAGTCACTACTTCTACCTCGACAAGTTGCCTGGAATCAATTTCGTTTTTTGTTTTTTTGTTGTTTTTTTTGTGTTTTTTTTTTTGTTGTTGTTTTTTTTTGGGGGGGGGGGGGGTTGGTTTTTGTTTTTTTTTTTTTTTTTTTTTTTTTTTTTTTTTTTTTTTTTTTTTTTTTTTTTTTTTTTTTTTGGGGGGGGGGGGGGTTGTGTACTGTTTTATTTATATAAATGTATGACTTCTTTTCTGCCTCTCCTAGATAATGACGCGTATTGAAAACATATGTTAACTGCTTTATTGTAAAAATTTTTGTGAGAGACTAGATGGGTGTGCAAAATTGAATAGTTCAAAGTCATTAAATAAAATATTACGGGAATTTGAGAAGCTCTAAATAAATTTCAGAAATGTCTGCACGCAAACTTGCAGTGTAACATAAAACAGAATCACTTGTATCACAAATTGAAAAAATTACTTGTTTTTCTTCTTCTTATGTCATTTTACCCCGTCTGGGCCAGAGGCCGTCCACAAGAATTTCCCACTCATCCCCTTCCTGTGCTGTCCTTTCCAGTTGCTTCCAGGTGTAACCCATATTTTGCGTGTCACCTCTAGCTCGCGTCTCCATGTATTCTTTGGCCTTCCCCTCTTTGTCTCTGTTGTTTCCATGTTAAAAGCTTTTAGTAAGGATAAATGTATTTCTGGTATGATATCTTAGGCATGGTAAATTTTTCAGGCAAACTATGCAGGAAACCTCTATGGAACTAGATACTGTAGTTTCACTAATAAATATTGTTACTGATCTCACACTTTTAAAATAAAAGAATAAGCGGATGCTGTGCACTGACAAGTTTCCAAACTTAGATGGCACTAGACGTGTTCTTTTTGAATCACATGTAGTCACAAAATTACTTCCTCATGATGTCAAGTGTCTAATAGAGGCCGCTAAATTCATAAACGCTGAATCAAATCTATGAGTAGCATTACGAATAATGCTTACAATACCTAAACGCTGAATCAAATCTATGAGTAGCATTAAGAAGAATGCTTACAATACCTAAACGCTGAATCAAATCTATGAGTAGCATTAAGAAGAATGCTTACAATACCTAAACGCTGAATCAAATCTATGAGTAGCATTAAGAAGAATGCTTGCAATACCTAAACGCTGAATCAAATCTATGAGTAGCATTAAGAAGAATGCTTACAATACCTATTCGCTTTGTTTTCATATTCCGAAAGAAATTATCTCGCGTATGACGACCACCCCAAGACAGATCGCCTACAAACACAAGAAGTGTCCATGATCTTGGTAAAAGATAACGAAATATCCCTTCCCCACAAAAAGATTACTACTCACACTTAGGAACTCAACAATTAAATATACCGAGCAATTATTCGATGCAAGTCTTGCTACGGACTAAATTAAGGAACAACGAGAAACTCAAGCATGGATTTACAAGACTTTAAAAAATATGTACGATGAATTAAAAAAAACAACAAATTTTCATTTATTTGGATCAATAAAAGTATCTTATCTTATCTTAAACTTGTTACCTAACCCAGGGTTTTTTTCCTTGCAAAAAATGTTTATGATTATACTTAAAAGGGGGCGGCAAAGTTAAGCTTTGCCCGGAGCACCATCATCCGTAGGGTGGCGGGCCCTGTTCTGGAGATGCCAGAGACACACTCTTTCAGAGTTATCTAAACCGGAGCACCAGCATCAGTAGGGTGGTGGGCCCTGTTCTGGAGATGCCAGAGACACACTCTTTCAGAGTTATCTAAACCGGAGCACCAGCATCAGTAGGGTGGTGGGCCCTGTTCTGGAGATGCCAGAGACACACTCTTTCAGAGTTATCTAAACCGGAGCTCCAGCATCCGTAGGGTGGTGGGCCCTGTTCTGGAGATGCCAGAGACACACTCTTTCAGAGTTATCTAAACCGGAGCACCAGCATCCGTAGGGTGGTGGGCCCTGTTCTGGGGATGCCAGAGACACACACTTTCAGAGTTATCTAAACCGGAGCACCAGCATCAGTAGGGTGGTGGGCTCTGTTCTGGAGATGCCAGAGACACACACTTTCAGAGTTATCTAAACCGGAGCACCAGCATCCGTAGGGTGGCGGGCCCTGTTCTGGAGATGCCAGAGACACACTCTTTCAGAGTTATCTAAACCGGAGCACCAGCATCCGTAGGGTGGTGGGCCCTGTTCTGGAGATGCCAGAGACACACTCTTTCAGAGTTATCTAAACCGGAGCACCAGCATCCGTAGGGTGGTGGGCCCTGTTCTGGAGATGCCAGAGACACACTCTTTCAGAGTTATCTAAACCGGAGCACCAGCATCCGTAGGGTGGCGGGCCCTGTTCTGGAGATGCCAGAGACACACTCTTTCAGAGTTATCTAAACCGGAGCACCAGCATCCGTAGGGTGGCGGGCCCTGTTCTGGAGATGCCAGAGACACACTCTTTCAGAGTTATCTAAACCGGAGCACCAGCATCCGTAGGGTGGCGGGCCCTGTTCTGGAGATGCCAGAGACACACTCTTTCAGAGTTATCTAAACCGGAGCACCAGCATCCGTAGGGTGGCGGGCCCTGTTCTGGAGATGCCAGAGACACACTCTTTCAGAGTTATCTAAACCGGAGCACCAGCATCCGTAGGGTGGCGGGCCCTGTTCTGGAGATGCCAGAGACACACTCTTTCAGAGTTATCTAAACCGGAGCACCAGCATCCGTAGGGTGGCGGGCCCTGTTCTGGAGATGCCAGAGACACACTCTTTCAGAGTTATCTAAACCGGAGCACCAGCATCCGTAGGGTGGCGGGCCCTGTTCTGGAGATGCCAGAGACACACTCTTTCAGAGTTATCTAAACCGGAGCACCAGCATCCGTAGGGTGGCGGGCCCTGTTCTGGAGATGCCAGAGACACACTCTTTCAGAGTTATCTAAACCGGAGCACCAGCATCCGTAGGGTGGCGGGCCCTGTTCTGGAGATGCCAGAGACACACTCTTTCAGAGTTATCTAAACCGGAGCACCAGCATCCGTAGGGTGGCGGGCCCTGTTCTGGAGATGCCAGAGACACACTCTTTCAGAGTTATCTAAACCGGAGCACCAGCATCCGTAGGGTGGCGGGCCCTGTTCTGGAGATGCCAGAGACACACTCTTTCAGAGTTATCTAAACCGGAGCACCAGCATCCGTAGGGTGGCGGGCCCTGTTCTGGAGATGCCAGAGACACACTCTTTCAGAGTTATCTAAATTTAGCAAGAATACGTTTGTCCATGTATTGTACTGAATTTCTTAAGTGTACAAAAAGAAAAAAAAATTTTTTGTTAAAACACCTACTTAATTTGAACTGTAAAAAGATACAATGTGCAGTTCATCATAGTTCATAGTGAGTTCATTCATATCAACTTTAAAAACACAACTAGCCAATCTAAAAGACTTAATTTACGGTAAACATCTCAGGGAAGAGTTCAAGAAATATTTATTGTGTTGCCCTCAACATGTGTGCACTTCATGACTGATGAAATCTTTACCTAACGATTTTTAAGCACCTTCAGAGATTTGAAAACAATTCAACTATTTCATTGCAAATTTGCAAGGGTGAATCACTTTTGTAAAATCTGGATTTAGAACGTGCACGCTCTGAGATTTAAAACCATAAAATCAATGTAAACATTACTAATTCATTTCTTTTGTTTGAAGCAATGAAAGAAATAACTTTTTAAAAAAAACATTGATTTTTATTTTTATTTTTTAACAAATAATTATATAGCGTATTCATATATGACACTCTAGAACAATGAATGACTATTTTTTTGTGTTGTTTTTTTTTCTTTTATTAACAGTGCTGTTCGGTCTGTTCAAAATTAAAGATATTTTAATGGCTTTACTCTTGGGGAGTATTGATTTTTTTTTTTTTTTTTATTAATCAGAAATAACCATTACAAATTCACGCCTTCAACGTCTTGCCATTTAGAGGATCGTGTTAATTTAGAAATAATTTTTCNTAAAATCAATGTAAACATTACTAATTCATTTCTTTTGTTTGAAGCAATGAAAGAAATAACTTTTTAAAAAAAACATTGATTTTTATTTTTATTTTTTAACAAATAATTATATAGCGTATTCATATATGACACTCTAGAACAATGAATGACTATTTTTTTGTGTTGTTTTTTTTTTCTTTTATTAACAGTGCTGTTCGGTCTGTTCAAAATTAAAGATATTTTAATGGCTTTACTCTTGGGGAGTATTGATTTTTTTTTTTTTTTTATTAATCAGAAATAACCATTACAAAGTCACGCCTACAACGTCTTGCCATTTAGAGGATCGTGTTAATTCAGAACTAATTTTTCATCCGCTATCAAATTCTATCATCAATGGGGTGATGTTTTCTTAACTATCTTGAAAGTTATGATTTAATTAGTTGATAATTATTGCGTGAAATTCTGTTTTTAGCATTTAAGATGCAAACGGTTGTGAAGTTGCTGTGGAAAAATTTATATTTTACATTGTGTAAGTTCAAAATTGTGTGTGTAGTGAAAACATAAAACAATTATTACGTTTCGTTTTTTTCTTTCTAACGAATGCTTTGAATGCTTATTATTTATAAACGTAATTCAAGGAAAACAATTATTATAATAGAAATAAATTCTTATCCCATGAATACAATTGAAGAATATTTATATTTTAATATATACATCCTCCATTAAATGCTTATCACATTCTTTAAACAAAAAATATTCTGACAACTATATCGATGAGGATATTTGTAATTCATCTGAAAAAAGATTTAGTTTAATGAAATTCCGAATAAACTTTTCAATAAAATTCATTTTTAAAATTATTATAGCATTTGACAACGTTCCAAAGTAATTTTTATGTAATTTTAAAAATTGGTTTCAATCATTACAATATGGAAATATTATTTTTGTAAACAATTTATCTGCTAACATAAATTATTTTTGCAACATTTTGTAGAAAATTAAATGTCTTTTTTTTCCATTTCACATTTTAGTTTGTGCTAGTGTGCTCAACCTTGAGGTCACAGCATCTTTCAATGCAACATCATCTTTCAAGTTTAAACGTTACATGTCACGTGATAAGAGAATCGCACTGCTTGGCCAATCATGGATGGATAAATCAGCTACCTCTTGTTGCACGAAAGCCGTGATGAAATATCCAGAGCTCAGATCATTCATGTATAACGTCAACACCAAAGAGTGTCAACCTGGAGGCGATGTCAGCGCTACTGGACGCTTCCCAACACGTGAAGAATCCTTGTATTTTATCGCCGAGTGTCAATCTTCTAAAGGATTTCATTTAATTTCCTACAACAACACCAAGGCGTGTATCGGGATCTTCAACGAAACTCTCAACTACACGCAAGCTGTCAATGCTTGCAAAGAGAAACAAAGCTTCCTGATATCGCTCAAAAACAGAGACAAGCTCGAAATTCTTAGAAATGAAGTGTCTACCACCTACGCAGCTACCTGGATCGGCTTGGATGACACGGATACAGAAGGAAACTTTATCTGGATAGAAGACTTGACCCAACTGAATGACACGTTGAAAGTTCAGATTTTTAACGCTGGCGAGCCGAACAACGGCCGTGATAAAGAGCACTGTGTTCAATATGTCTCTAAACATAAATTGCTCAACGATGACGACTGCAAGGAATTACAACCCTACGTGTGTGAACAAACTGCTGTTTAGTATAAGCCTTTAAAAAAAAAAAGAAAACTGTTATTTAATAAATTTGGCTTGATAGAGTCTGGAAGAATTCGAGTGCTAAACATCTGATAATACCTGTTCATCTGTAAACATTTTTTTACAAAAATAAACCCAAACAATGAAAGAGTTTACAATACTTAACATTCCTTGAAAACTGGATGCATGAAATATAATTTTCATTCAAATTAAAGTATTTGCAAAATATTTGCTGGAATGAGACAACACTATTGGCTCAGCAAAACGTCTCTTGATACTTGTTGAGAACTGTAAACAAGATGAAAGAAGCTGGTAAACATAATTGTGTGTTCCTAGATCTACTAGGTTGCTTTCATTATTCAGGTGGCTTTGGATATTTATATTTCATTTTTTTGCTGATTTTTACGTTAGAAAAATACTAAAGGTGTCTTGTGTTTAAATTGTAATTTTTTTTAACTGTTGTCTTGGATAAAATATGTATTTATTTTCATGCTAGAAAAGAATATGTAAATGTAATTTTAAAAAAAAAGTTTCCATTTATTTGGCTCTATTATATAATCTTATTTATTAAATGAATCTTATCTTATCATTATTAGCTATACTAATATACATCCTGAGTTCGTATAGCTTCACACTCTACCGATGTCAACAATGTTACTAGCTTGACGTCACGTTCATATCACTTTTAACAGCAGTACTGGTTGCACATATGGATATATGAACGCCATAATAAGACGAGAGAGAGAAAAGACCCAATAATACCTAAAGCGTATCGACCAAGCGCCTTCTTCAGCCTTAATGTAGTAAAATGGTAAAGATGGAATGTAAAGCTAAAGAGCGCATTTCAAAGAAAACGGGCGACCATTCGCTCGTTTGAAAGAGGTGATAACAGCCACCTAATCTAATGTTGCAGCAATGGAATATATGGAAAAAATATCACAGACGAGGTTAATTTCAGCTGCTGTTGCCACACTAACGTTATGATTTGATCTTTTCTATAGCAATTTTTTATACAATTTAAAAAAAAAAATTGAAACTGTTGCCTCTTAAATCTGAGCACACTGTTGGTCGGCACAAACTACACCACGAATCTTTGGCGGATCTATGAAAGTGTACTTATTGCTACATTTAAAAAAAAAAGTGTAGTGGCAATGAATCGTATTGCACAAGTTTTCCAGAATCAGAGAGTGAAATATGACGCAATCAAACTTGATGGTCAGATAAGAAGTTGGAATGTTTATTGCGCTATAAACCCGTGAACGGATGCGTGATACTGTGTTTAGAACCAAGCTTAAACCAGCATGAAGTTGCCGTGATACTGTGTTTAGAACCAAGCTTAAACCAGCATGAACTTGCCGTGATACTGTGTTTAGAACCAAGCTTAAACCAGCATGAAGTTGCCGTGATACTGTGTTTAGAACCAAGCTTAAACCAGCATGAAGTTGCCGTGATACTGTGTTTAGAACCAAGCTTAAACCAGCATGAAGTTACCGTGATATTGTGTTTAGAACCAAGCTTAAACCAGCATGAACTTGCAGTGATACTGTGTTTAGAACCAAGCTTAAACCAGCATGAACTTGCCGTGATACTGTGTTTAGAACCAAGCTTAAACCAGCATGAAGTTGCCATGATACTGTGTTTAGAACCAATCTTAAACCAGCATGAACTTGCCGTGATACTGTGTTTAGAACCAAGCTTAAACCAGCATGAACTTGCCGTGATACTGTGTTTAGAACCAAGCTTAAACCAGCATGAACTTGCCGTGATACTGTGTTTAGAACCAAGCTTAAACCAGCATGAAGTTGCCGTGATACTGTGTTTAGAACCAAGCTTAAACCAGCATGAACTTGCCGTGATACTGTGTTTAGAACCAAGCTTAAACCAGGATGAAGTTGCCGTGATACTGTGTTTAGAACCAAGCTTAAACCAGCATGAACTTGCCGTGATACTGTGTTTAGAACCAAGCTTAAACCAGCATGAAGTTGCCGTGATACTGTGTTTAGAACCAAGCTTAAACCAGCATGAACTTGCCGTGATACTGTGTTTAGAACCAAGCTTAAACCAGGATGAACTTGCCGTGATACTTTGATTAGAACCAAGCTTAAACCAGCATGACCTTGCCGTGATAATGTGTTTAGAGTTTTATCTCTTTACTTATTTTGGAACATGTAAGTGGCCAAGATAAAGGGCAATTTCTGTTGTAAAATATATCGCTCAATACACATTAAACCTATTGCAAAATCTATGAAAAAATATTCTGAAATTCTTTTCCATGTCAATATCAATGTAGTAAATCATGGTTATCCAAAATTGGGGAGCCAGCACTCCTGGGAAAGCTAGAGAATGTCCAGATATAATGACATCAAAGAGAGAACAAAAGAAAAACGAACGATAATCCATGTTTGTAATGATTAAAAACAATCAGTCACCGATAAAGTTATCAGGGAAAATCAAATGAGAAAGAACTATACTGGCACAGATTCTTGATCAGGGTTTCACTAGCACAATGATAGATAGTTCTGTTCGATTTCTTCTATAAATAACTACAACGAAATCTGGGCCCACATTACTGTTGACGTAATGCATTCAAATACTTGGTGTGTGTGTGAGAGAGAGAGAGAGAGAGAGAGAGAGAGAGAGAGAGAGAGAGAGAGAGAGAGAGAAACACATGTTTGTCCATGCATTGTACTGAATTTCTTTAGTGTGCTAAAAGAAATATTTTTTTTTTTGAAAAGCCTACTTAATATAAACTGTAAAAAGATACAATATGCAGTGCATTATTGTTCATAGTGAGTTCAATCATATCAACTTTTAAAAAAACACTATGGGCCAATTTAAAGATTAAATTTAACCTAAGCCTAAGTAGCTTACGGAAGTGTTCAAGAATCTTTTTAATTTTTTTTTTGGTTGCCCTTAACATGTGTGCACTTCATGGCTGATGAAACCTTAGTTACTTAACGATTTTTAGTCATTCTCGGAGATTTTAAAACAATTCAAATATTTCATCTCGGCTGTTCAATGGCAAGTCACTTCTGTAGAATCTGGCTGAGAAGAGGAACGCTCTGAGAATTAAAAACATAAAATTAATGCAAACATTCGTAATGCGTTTTTAGTTTGAAGCCACGAAACAAAAATAAAATGTAAAAATCTTCGATTTTTTGTTTTTATATTTTTTAAAAATTAATTCTAAAGCGTATTGATATATGGTACTCTTGAACAAGGAAAAAGATAAATAGAATGATTGTTTTTTTCTTTAGTAAACTGTACTGTTCGGTCTGATCCCTCTTGGAAGTATTTAATTTTTTTTTTTATTATTCAGAAATAACTATTAAAAATTCACGCTTACCACGTTCTTGTCACAGAGAGGATCCTGTTAATTCATAAAAACTTTTTCATCCTCGATAAAATTCTATCATCAATGGGATGATGTTGTTTTTGGTTTTTTTTAATTAACTTGAAAGTTTTGTTTTAATTAGTTGATAATTTTTACGTGAAATTCGTTCTTCAGCCATTGAATTGCATACGGTCGTAAAGTTGCTTAGGAAAAATGTATTTTTCTCTTGTGTAAGTTCAAAATCGTATGCGTAGTGAAAACACGAAACAGTGATTCCGTTTCGTTTCTTTTCTAACGAATATTTTGAAAGCTTAATTGCTAAGACGTAATTCAAGGACAACGAATTATTATAATCGTGAATTTTAAGAAAGTGAAAACAATCGAAAAATAAATATAAATTAATACATTCATGTCCATTAAATGTTAATCAAATTGAATCCAACCAAAAAAAAAATTGAAAAAAAAAAAATTGACATCTACATCGAAGAGGAAATTTATAATTTATCCAAAGAAAGTTATAGCAGTTTGCTATTCCCATAAACATTTAAATAAAAATGAATATTGAAAATTATTATAGAACTAGTGAGAAACCGGCATGCGTTGCAATGCCACTCAAAGAAAAAAAAATGTGTCAGTCTTTTAATTGTTTTTAAAGCAATTTTTAAATAGACAATATTTTTTTTTTTTTTCAGTCTGGTGCATACACAAATAAATAAGAAGGTTTTTCGAAGCGTCAGCAGGCGACATACAGCTGCGCAAGTGAGGAACATGGGTTTTTAAAATGTAGTCAACACAATTGTAGCGAATGATCCATCCATTTAGTAGCTCTGATTGAAATTATATTTATATAGGTCACATATTAAAAAAAAAATAAGGCCCCCAGCCCAAAACGCAAAATTTTAAAATGGTTTTACTAATTCAGAAACCTACTTATTTTGTCACAAACTGAAACGTCGCTTGTATTTGATTCATTCCATCCACTCATGCAATAACTCTGTTTGAAATTATAATTCTATAGTTCATATAAGAAAAAAATAATTTAGGGCTCCCGGAATATTTCCAAATGGAAAACATAATTATAATTTTCGGGCGGGCGCTCAACAACTTATTTAAGTTTTATCGCAATCGGATGAATGTTATAAGAACGCATACGGACATTATACTTAGCTCATAAAAGAAAAAAAAGGAGAATTTAGGGCCCCGGACACCAAAACGGAATATTGTAAAATGTGTGTAATAATTTGGAGAAATGTTCGGGCGTCTGCACATCAACTCAAAAAAGTTTTATCGCAATCGGTTGAATGGTATAGGAGCGCATACGGGACATACATCCAAACATTAATAGTGGCAAAATATCGATATCTTGAGACTTACGGAAAGCGCACTTTTGCATTTGCCGGCCAAACAATTTGTAACGCACTTCCAGTCGCTCTCGGAAACAGCCAGACACTGGAGTCCTTTAAAACCGATTTAAAAACACATCTATTTCGCAAACACCTTCTGGGGTGATGCTATCTACCATCTTTTTCAGTTAATGTTTATTGGCTTGTGTTGCTTATGGTTGAAACGGGATGAAAGACTTTGACTTGGTATGCTCGTATGTAGTTTTATATTGTTGCGTCTGTTTTTAAATGTGGTAAATTTTAGATTGTTTTTATTTCTCTTTTTAATA